AAAAAAAAAAAAAAAAAAAGCCGGAAAACAATTTTCCCACCAAAGTGGTGGGAAAACCAATTCAATGAAAACCTGGAAAAATGGGTCACATGGGGGGTTAGGAGAGAAATACTTTGCCAAGAAAAAATTGGCTATCAAACAAAAAAAAAGTTGGAAATGGAAAAATAATTTCCAAATTCCATGGAAAATAGTAAAGATCAAACATGGCCTTAGTTTCAAAATTAAGAAGTCTATTCACCAAGTTCTTTTCACCAACTCATTCATTTCTGTTCTGAGATAGAAAGTGTACTAAGGGGCTGCTTGACCATGTTTTTATTTCTTGTAAGACTTCTTGAGAAAGTTATTTTAAAATAATTTCATATAAAATTAATGGATAAAGTACTCAAGAAAATCATCTAAATATATTTTAAAAACAATTTTTTAGTTACAGAAGTGGTATCAGAGCAGCTTGTTAGAAACCGAATAAGGATTATGTATGCTCTGATACCACTTTTTAGGAACCGAACAATGTTATATGACACGATATGAAGTATTGGTCACAATAACAAGAATACAAGAAACAAGAATGTAATTTGGTGGAGGAATTGGAAATTTCATTCAACTTAATGAAAAGAGAAATTACAACAATGTTGTGTTCCTACACAATTCTAACTTGTAGAGAAGAGTCTACAACATGTCACATAATTCCAACAATTAATGGTGTTCTTCATTTTGGTTTACAGCTTTGTTTCTTATCTCATTCACATGTGTAGATGTTCACACAGAGGATCCTTATTTGAATGAATGCCACCCTGACCAATAACTCAAAAGATCTACTGAATCCCTCATCACCTAGTTAAAGTTCTATTTGTAAGATCATAGCATTTCAAAAATCTTATTTTTACAAGTATGTTTGAAGCGTGACTTCTATTCGTAAGTCAGAGTAGTCGTCCCTATCCAAGTTCATTCCTTTCCTTTTTTCTTGGGCAATTCAGAACCATGTGTTTATTGAATTGCCCAATTGTTGTTGGCCTACGTCTACGAGCAATGAAAAGAACAAAATTCTACCATAATGAGAGAAAACCATAGACTACAAACTACTATATCCCCAAACTCGAAAACTTCAAATTTATACACGGAATATCCAGACCTTTCTATGTATAACCAAAATCCTAGTACCATCTAGTATAACATTTTTTTTTAATTTATATTATTCCCAAAATAAAAAGCAAGTATTATTTGATCTCATCTTTTGGATATTGCTGCCTTCAAACCATGCTTCATAGTGAGTATTGCAGAAATACTAGGAACAATATTCTGACCATCCAATATGCGAACATGGAAATTATGTATCATGGTGGCTGCAACAGCTTTCATTCTAGTAAAAGCCAATTCTTTGCCAGGGCAGGTCCATGGTCCTGAACTGAATGCAAGAAAGTTGTTTGATGCCACATGTTTAATCCCTCCTTTATCCGATAACCATCTCTCCGGCTTGAATTCGAGGCAATCTTCTCCCCATATCCCTGTATTTCGGCCCATTGCGTACGAGCATAGCATGATTTTTGTGTTTTTATCAACTTTGTGTCCACTTGGAAGAATATCTCCTTGAAGTGGAACCCTGAGCAGAAATGGACCGGTTGGGAATAGTCTTAGTGCTTCACATAACGCACTATGCAGATAAACTAGTGTTCCTAGCTCTTGTACATTGGAAAAGATGTGTTTTTGGGATGCATTTTCTGCAAGATTTTTCTTAATTTCTTGGACGATCTTGTTTTCGACTGAAGGGTTTTTGGAAATGAGCCAGAAAAACCAAGTTAAGAGTGCACCAGATGTGTCCCTTCCAGCAAAAAAGAGGGTCATGAGGTTGGCAATCAAGGCCCTGTTTACATGTTCTATGGATCCTTCATTTCCTGCCTCGAGTAGATAAAATTTCAACACGTCGAAATTCTCTCCACCTAATTCTTTATCCCTTGCTTCTTTGCTTGATAATTCGCGTTTCACTGATATATAGTTGCTTAGTATTTCATTGAAGGTTTTCGAAGCTTCAGCCAATTTCTTTTCCTTTCCAATCCTTAGCCACCTTTGCAACTTCCAGAGTCTTTCGGGCAAGATATGGCGATAAAATACAGCTTCACCTATATCGTCCATGGCCTTCAACAATGGACTATTGGGTAGTTCAATGCGGAGAGAAGCCGGATCAAATCCAGTGGCCATAATGCAAGTTGCATCAAGCATATATCTATTGAACAAAGTTTGCAAATCTAGTACTTGATTATTTTTCGAAGAATGCTCAAGAATTGGAACGAGGCCTTTTTCCAAAGTATATTGGATTATCTTTGGAGTGGACTTGTGGTACTGATTTTCCCTAAAGAAAGCTTGAGTCAACTTCTTTTCCTCCTTCCATTCGTCGAGATCTTTATTGAAGACCGCATCTCCGAGAAAATCGAAAACATTTCTGAATTCTGATCCTCTTTGATACAAAGAGAACTTTGAGTTCATAATGTATTGAACATTTGATGGATCACTAGTGACTAAAGTGTCAATGTTTGTAAACCAAGAAGTTTTGAACAAGATGGTGTCATTGTTTTCTGCTAAAACTTGTGTGATTTTGTCATATATTTTGTGGCTATTGAAATACATGGTGGGCATCATTTTCACAAAAGGCCAGTTCCATGGGAGGCCCTTTGAGGGGACTAAGAACAAAACAGAAAGAATGCAGAAAATAAGTGTGAACACGATGGTTTCAAGAAATGCCATCTTTCAGCTGTGTTTTCAAAATATAGCATAAACCATGACTATTTATAGGGCTTAATTAAAATTTTGGAACAATTCAAGCCTACAAATTTGGAACAAGTTGACCTTTTGTAGTCAACGCCGTTTTTTTTTTTTATATTTTTTTGCCTTTTTTCTATGTCTGTGTTCTTTGAATTTTCTTGAATAAAATTTTATTTTATCATTGTCGGCTCAGTCAAATACCACACTACAAAAAAAACTGCATCCAGCGACCAAACTTGGTCGCTGGATGTTAATTTTTGGTCGCTGGATGT